CATACTTATATAGGATAACACACAAACTACGGAATATCATACTTATATAGGATAACACACAAACTACGGAATATCATACTTATATAGAATAACACACAAACTACGGAATATCATACTTATATAGGATAACACACAAACAACGGAGTATCATACTTGTATAGGATAACACACAAACCACGGAATATCATACTTATATAGGATAACACACAAGCCACGGAGTATCATACTTATATAGGATAACACACAAACTACGGAATATCATACTTATATAGGATAACACACAAACAACGGAGTATCATACTTGTATAGAATAACACACAAACCACGGAGTATCATACTTGTATAGGATAACACACATACCACGATTTTGTTTTTCGGTTTTGTCTTACAACTCGTCTTTCGTTTCTGAGCAGACGCACACACGTACATAAATTGCCGAGCCTGTTGTCGGGCGCTGTAGTAATTTAAAGAAATATTTATAGTCGACAGGCTGTGATTCGGGTGGTAGGTAGTACGTACGTGTTGGGGAGAAAGTTCACGCTAATTAATGGTCGCAGATGGCGCTCACCAGCTTCCGCCGTCACTGGGCCATCATGTTATCTTTTGTTGAAAGCAGACTCGGATGGATGTTTAACATGTTCCCCACCCCAAGAAAAAATAAATAAAATATTGTCACTGGATGTTGTATACGATGCTGTGCTGAATTATGGTCTATTCTGGCTTAATATGATAATTAGTTTAGGGTTTTAAAAATAATGTGCAACCCACTTACTGGTAATTTCATCTTTTACCTCCTCAATACACATGTTTGTGCCCAAAGTTGGTAATTGTAAGAACGTAATTTGTGAAACTAAAGTTTATGTTGTAATGCGTCAACCATATTTACTAGATCTGACACACCCAGTAACTCGAACTATTCGATAACCTCGCTGCTGGTGTTGTATTGGTTGACACCAAATTGTTGTCTTTTATTTTATTTTTAGGCACGACATGGCCAGGTGGTTAGGGCGCTCGACTCGCAATCTAAGGGTCGCGGGTTTGAATCCCCGTCCCACAAACATGCTCGCCCTTTCAGCCGTGGGGGCGTTATAATGTGACGGTCAATCCCACTATTCGTTGGTAAAAGAGTACCTCAAGAGTTGGCGGTGGGTGATGATGACTAGTCTTTCACTGCTAAATTAGGAACGGCTAGCGCAGATAACCCTTGTGTAGCTTTGCGCGAAATTCTAAACAAACAAACAAACTTGAAGAGTGTGTTTGTGGCGCCACCTAGTGAAATTTCTAGGAACCAGTGGAGAAACTTTTATAAACGTAAATAAACAAAGTTTACGCGAGTTGATCTACAGACTGTTTTATACACCCATACCGACTACACGACCATTCTATACATTTATCCACACTTAATATTTAATAAAAAGGAGTAATACAAGAATATTCCGTACTGTTAAAGGTGGAGAACAAAATGTCACTGTATAAAAGTGATTATTCAGACATTAAGAATTTTGTTTAATTAACTTCGATATTTTTCTCAATTTTGCGAAAATTTCTTTTTTTTTTATAAAAAAAAGCGTCACAATTTCGCGATATTTTGCCACTTTAAAATACCCATTGAAAATCGCGTGTGGTATCGAGCATAAGGATGAAACATCTCTAAAATATAAATTATGAGATTACATACTTGATATTGTAGAACTATATATGACTCTTCATACATGTTGCCCACTGACGTAATATGTTACTTAACAATAACAGATAAGACGTCCCCCAACGATATAAAACCCATGATTTAAATTTATCGAAACTATTGTGTTTCTTCTCAGAATTTGTAGTACATACTGTAGAGATTTAGACATTTTGGAAAAAAAAGTTAGAAAAAAAATGACCTTTACTTTCCAGTATTACTAATCCCGATGAAACCGCAAAAACGGAACATTGGCTGAAATAAAAAGTTTTTTTGTTATTATCTAGAGAGCAATTGTTTGTTTTTTTTATTGCTAAAATAAAAAGTATATATATATATAAATTTGATTAATTTTAAAGCCAGGATAAAGTTCTAAGAGTAATAACGTACTGTCGTCTGAAGAAGACAGACCAATCTTCTGTCAAAACATGCAGTATGTTCTACCATCAATAAAATTGTTTGCCCACCTGTTATAATGACTTCCTCTAAAACAGTACAGAGTTGCGGCTATTTTTAGGTTCCAGTTTTGTTTTATGACAAGTGATTCTCACTTACCGCCAGTTGCTCCAATCGGAGAAAGGGACCCTATTCCACAGCTCATCGTGGTGTCTGGGGGGTGAAGGTGAGAACTGATTAGCGGAGATGTGGATGTTGTGGAGGAAGATATTGTATCCCTTACGCTGGGAACCAGCGAAGAGGTTGAAGTACTGGAAGAGGCTGAGAACGAGAGTGTGGTGTACGGTAATCCTGAGTATTGTAGGGCAGCTGCCAATAAAGATGAAGGTCCTTGTGGTAATTTCCAATTAGAAGGTCCTGGTCTTTCCAGTGCTTCCGTTAAGAGGGGATGTAAGCTATCACGCGAGACCGTAAATTCAGGATTTGGAATTGTGGTAACTAAACTGGATGCGGTTCCTAGAGCAGAGGAGCTACTGCTTATAGACGGAATCGTGATGGTGGAGATCTCTGTTGGATAATGAGCAACTTCAAACCCTTCAACGGATACAGGTGGTGAGTTCTGAGTTACAAAACAAGGTGATTTTGGAACAGGAAGAATGTTGCCAACAGCTTGATTACAACTTGTGTCATATTCTTCACTGTTTTTCCTCTTCCTTAAGGAAATGGATGTTTGTAACTCCTCTAAATGTGGCTGAGACGTCAACAGTTGGGTGAGGATGCCACTGCTTTCTACTTTCGTTTCAATATCAGCGAAAATACCATCTAGTTCAAAATGTGGATCTGAAAACTGTGTAATCATTTCTTCTCCTTCAGCCAGTTCCGGAACCAGACCGTGAAAGTCCATATGTGATAGTTCTTGTAGGACATCGTGCTGCTGCTGGACAATGACATTAGGCCCACTGTCCTGTAAAAAATAAATAATAATAAAACAGCCCGAAATCGATGACACAAAATTGCTTATTTATCCACTTTAAAAAGGAAAAATATCACAATAAATGAAATATATCAACAGTCAATAATTATATTCTTAAAGGTAAATTAAAATATTAATAACCAACCAACCAGAGGAAATATTGCAGGAACAGAAAACATTAATGAGATTAAGTCGTAATTTTCCTTATACTGTTAGTATATTAATTCACTTTTAGGGCTCATATAAGTAAAAAACAAATAAATAAGCGCAATAAGTCAAAGCTATGCACACAAAACGTGCCATGTACTACAGATACATATTAATATTATTTGTGACCACGTGTTCGTGATAACATGTACAACTCAAACGCACGATAGGTGGCGCCATCTAACAATCAATGTTAATAGCAGAGTTGCACTATAAAACCCTGCATCTAACATTTTATGTTTGTTTGTTTGTTGTTAAGCACAAAGCTGCACGATGGTCTATCTGTGCTGAGCTCCCCCGGGGGGGGCAACACTTTCTGTTGTTATGCTATCTTGTGTTTTTAGTGTTTATTTTTCTATTTAATTCTGATTTTCTTATTCTCCTGCTACGCCGAAACTTTATATAGTTCGATGAATGATCAAATTTGGAACTCTACAAACCACTATCTGCATTAAAAGAAAAAAAAATTGAAACTGTTTCGATAAACTATTGCATATCGAATGTTACTCTCGTGACAAAGGTTTATTCAGTTTTGTACTCACGAGACAGGAAAGGTCCACCATCTTGCCATCTGTATCAGGACACCATAATAGATCACTGTTAACGTATGGCATTTCTCTTTCGGCTTCTGATGTTCGTAGATCTATGGGGTGAGCACTGGAATACCAAAAAAAAAAACACATAAAAATAAACCAGGAATTATGACACGTAATATGTTATCTTAGCCACCAGTGGGCGCTCAAAACCTAATCAACCGTCCATTAAATAACCTTCTACTCATTCACGCACATGATCACTCTATACATTATAAACTTATTAGTAAACCTATGTGTTCACCTTCTATCTACACAACTACCAAACTCTCAATAAGATCTTTAAAAGTTCAGTTATTAACTCAGACACTTATTCGTTAAAGTCAATTAACTCAGAAATATTGTGTTTATGTTGAATAAAACTAGAGATAATTAAAGTTCTCCTAATTAAATTACAATTACATTAAAATCCTAATGTCTATAAATTTGCCAATCGGAAAAGTTGAAAACGTTTAAAACTGTCTTATTTGATCATACAATAATTGAGAAAAAGTTTACTCTCTCTTTCTATATATATATATATATATAGTGTGTGTGTGTGTGTACATAATAACGAGTTTCGTTATTTCTATTTATATTAAACGTGTAATCTATTCCTTTGTCTATTTTAATTGTTGTTTTATACTTTAAGAACTAAATCGTAAATGATTTACTTTAAAAAACATTGTGATGTCAAAATTGGGCACTAGATGGCACTGCGATAAGCAGAACCAAATAGAACTTTATTGTTAAATTAGCCTCCACCCGCAAAACCTTTACAGTAGTTTTCATGCCCTTCGCTTGAATTCTTCTTGTTCTATAATTTTTACGCACGGCATTTAAGTTATGCTTTCTTGCAGGCATTACGTGTTGGATCGATAAATCCTGGTCTGTTTGTTTGTTTTGGATTTCGCAAAAAGCTATACGAGGGCTATCTGCGCTAGCCGTTCCTAATTTAGCAGTGTAAGACTAG